ACGCACCGATCAACGCCGTCGTCTTCGCCGTGTACGGCCAAGTGTCGCGCCTCTTCCTCCAAGACAAGAAGGAGCTCACGCCGACCGAGCAGCTCATTGCGGGGTCGGCGGCCGGCCTCTTTCAAGTGTCGTTCGCGGCGCCGGCCGAGCTCGTCAAGATCACCATGCAAGTCAACAACTACCCAAGCACGTACTCATCGATCACGTGCGCCAAGGACATTTGGGCGAGCCAGGGCATGAAGGGCCTCTACCGCGGGTGGCAGCTCAACATGCTCCGTGACGTGCCCGCGTTTGGCTCGTACTTTTACTCGTACGAGCTGCTCAAGCACTGGCTCACGGACGGCTGTGCCGAAAACGAGACAACTATGAACCTCCTTCTCGCCGGCGGCTCGGCGGGCTCGATCTCATGGATGGTCACGCAGCCCATTGACGTCGTCAAGACGCTGGTGCAGAGCCAGCCGGCGACGTCGCCCCTCTCGGCCCTCGACGTCGTCAAGCACCACTACAAGCTCGAAGGTGCCGGTTTTCTCTTCCGCGGCTTTGGCGCGACGATCCTCCGCGCGTTTCCTGTCTCGGCCGTCACGTTCTTGGTGTACGAGCGCTCGATGCAGTACATGAACTTGGATTTCGAGTACGCGGCCAACGTCGAGACGCAGTAAGCCATGCGGCGCCAAGGTAGTAGTGTACAGCGCGAAGAATGTAAAAAAATTGAAATACAAAATGGCCGGCAAAGCACTCGATCCTAAATCGCCCTACCGGTAGCGACCAGCCGTTGGACACAGTGGTCGACACCAGATTCGATGCCCTGCGGCAGCGAATCTGGGTACAGTGTTGTAGAATGGACGTTGTCGCTACTACTATCGTACTTGTATTGATAGTAGGACTTTATATAGCAACGCCCTTGGCAAGACCGGGGATGGGCCAAGGTGAAAAGGCAAGAGCAGAGGTGCCACAGCGGACTACAATATCGTCTCGTCACCAAGCGCCCTTCCGCGACCCGAAGAATTTCGCCGCCACGGGCCTCGAGGCTGCTGCGCTCGGCTGTGTTTTTAAATGTGGCATGTGCCGAAATGAAATAAACCTCCTATATTTTATACTATGGCGTTTCAATACAAAGGGTAAGATTGGCGATGCGATCGCCAGGCCCTGCCACACAGCCTGCCACGTGTCGTTGGAGCGGGCCAAGACCATCCATAATATTGATTACACCAGGGTATTCGATATCCAAGGTTTGAAGAAGCGCAATATCAATTTATAGGATTTGTGTACAAGCGACGATGACGAGGCTGGCTCTGCTGCTCCTGGCATCGCTCGTGGCCGCGGTGGCCGCGCTCACCGATCCGCCGGGCTTCAACAACTCGGACATCATGGGCTGGCTCGGCAACCGCAAGAAGGACGACGATACGGAGCTCGTGTGGAGCATCACGATGCGTGGCACGGCCTTGGGCGTCAACACGACGGCGGCGCAGCGCGAGTGGGAAAAGCTGTACCGCATCAACGGCGACCTCTTGCGCAACGACCATACAAACCTCTGCCTCGAAGCGGCGTACACAGCGTCGGTGCTGCGCGTCTACGGAGCGGTCTGCAACGCGTCGTCGCCCGAGCAGACGTGGACCTTTGCGCACCGCCGGCTGGAGCACGCCGTGTTTCGCCGCAACTGCCTCGCGATCGTCGATGGAGCAACGCCGATCGTGCGCATGGAGGCCTGCGACCGGTCGGCGGCCGTGCCCAGCAGTCAGAAGATCCGATTCTTCCGCTAAGGCAAAGAATCGCACGTATTTAACCTACGTAATGCTCGCATGCGGGGTTCTGAAATGGTCTTGTGGCCTCTCGTCTACTGGCGCTGCATTACAACACCATGGCGGGGCAGTGACCGTCGACCTTTGGAGGCTGGCTGCCACCAGGAGTATCGATCGAACAGTGTAGTAGTTGGTGATTCGAGCCAGCGCCTCGACTGCGACATGGCCATGACGTGTCTCGGCGTCATCCTCCTCGATGTTGAGCTTCGCCAGCAAACCTCTCTCGCAACTCTTGCAGGTCGTACTTACAACAAACCAGCCCATCTCAGAGCACCCTTAAAGCCGGTGCTTCCGCCACGAGCTAGCCATCTCGTACGACCTACCAGTACTCCCATTCATGGGCCCAGCTCGTTTCCTCCCAGCGCATCAACCCAAAAGATCGTTGGTTTCCGTAAAACGCAGTAGTTGTGATTTGTCTCTCGTCTTTATAGCCTAGACGATATTCGTTGATGTAGGATAGTAGCACAGTAATTAGACTTGCTGGACACTGGGCGTTGCCTCCACGTGGACGTACGGGTCGTCACTGAAGCTCTTGCGCGTCTCGGCGTCTTCGCGGGCGAGGAGGGTTTTGAACTCGCTGTCGAGCTTCGAGTGGTCGTCGTTGTTGTCAAACATGCAAAACACCGTGAGGACGATCGTGAGCGCCGAAATCGCCGCGAACGTGTACCACGTGCCGACGTAGCCAAAGCTCGGGTTGGTGACCCAGAGCGAGAAGCCGTACGAGCCGATGGACGCACCCGCTTTGCCCATGGCGGCCGAGAAGCCGTGGCACGTGCTCTTGATGGCGGTCGGGTACATTTCGGTCGGCATCACAAACGTCGACGTGTTGGGGCCAAAGTTGGAGAAGAAGAGCGTCAAGCCAAAGAGAATGATGAAGACCGTGCTTTCGTCCTTGATCGTGTTCCAGCCAATGCCAAGGATCAGAAAAATGATCGTCATGAAGACAAGGCCCTGCAGCTGAATCACCTTGCGACCGAGCTTGTTGATGAAGAAGACGGCGACGTAGTACCCCGGCAGCGCGACGCACGAGATCAAGACGTTTTGAACGGCGATCGTGCGCAAGTCCGACGTGGCGCCAACAACCGTTAGAATCGACGCCGAAAAGAGGTTCTGGGCGTAAAACACAATGTCAAAGAGGAACCACGTGCCGGCCGTGCCGAGGAGGCTCTTGCCGTAGTGCTTGAGGATGAAGTTCCAGCGCACGGCCTTGACCGACACTTGGTCGGCCATCATCGCACGGTAGGCCGTCGGCTCCTCGGCCGTGATGCGGTAGTAGACAAGAAACAAGGCCGGGAGCACGCCAATGCCAAAGAGGATGCGCCACATGAGTTCGAGGTCTCGCTTCGACTTGTCGTCCAAGACGTTGACCATGACGAGGCCCATGACGCCGGCGAAGAGAAAGCCGACGCCTTGCAGCGAAAACGTGAGCGCGACGCGACGGTTTCGGTCCGCAGGTGACGTGGCATCCTCCGACGACGACGCGGCTGCGAGCGGATATTCGCCGCCGATACCGAACCCGAGAATACCGCGCGCAAAGATGAGGAACCAGAGCGTGTTGTGGCCCGACCCGCCGTACGCTGCCGCGCATAGAATCCCGCCAAAAATGAGCAGCGCGCAGGTCGCCACCATGCATTTCTTGCGGCCGTAAACGTCGCCGAGGAAGCCGAACGCGAGCTGCCCGAGGACCGCGCCGATGAGTGCGGCAGACGAGACGTTGGACTTCATCGAGGCCGTGAACACGTCCTTGCCGTACTGGTCTTGGAGGATCACGTTGATGATGTTAATGACCGAGAGGTCGTACGCGTCGTTGAAGAAGCCGAGACCGCGGAGAAAGAACTTGTTGACCATGGTCAATGCGCACCTTGGTCAGCGGTGGGCGGTGCAGTGGCGAAGTGGGAGTGAGTTAGTACGATACGATTGCGGCGACTAATGTTCCCCGTCGAGGCATATCTTGGAAGGTTAAGCTCAACGCGCGCGCTCTGGCTCGGAGTATGCACGGGAATCTTGGCTATCTCTCGAACATCAAACAAAAAGCGCGCCACCAACGAGTCGCCGTTCTATAAGGTGTGGCTCGCCGCCTTTGAGTGTGTTGTGTCCAAGGAAGGCTGCGCTGGAGGAGAACCGACGCGACTCGGAGCAAGTTGGTGTCATGGATGCAGGAATGGGTTGGACGATGGCATTATGCGATGGACGACGAGCTTGTCGATGCAGTCGATGGCAGCAACGACAAGACTTTCCGGGGGTTTCATGCATATCAGTCGGGTCGCACCTACTGGTACTACGTGCACGCGAAGCCTTGTCTAACGACAGGCTCTCATATAAACCTACATTACTACTGATAACAACAACTACTACTACTGGGGTGGCTTCACCTTGACGAGACGAGGTTCCATGCCTCCCTCGGGGGTGCTCAAGAAAAAACGCTTGCTCCGTCGCGGCTCTTCCTTTAGTCCCTGCACCAGCACCGTCATTTGCTGCTCGCTTGTCGACAGAGCCATTAAGTGACGCCGCACGAGTGGCTCGCCTAGCGGGCCGAGCTCTTATACATACGTAGGCTTCCCCATCAACGACAAGACCGGTTCACATGCCAACGACCACCATAACGTCCAACCTCACAGACGGCACCGACGTATGCAGTTGACATCGTTGGCGGCGGCAATGATTGATCTCGGTGTACAGCTGTTGCCCAGACAAGTCAACTTTCGGATCCAACGGTCGCTGGCCGTGGCAGTTGGCGGCCAAGTGTCGCCGCCGGAGCGCGCCACGTCATGATGGACCGCTCGGATCGGGCAGCAGGAGCGGCGGTGAAGATTTTTGTAGAACGAGACGCTCCGAATTCGGCACGCCGCCACGAGGTCCTCGGACGGTTGGGTCGCTCCCACGATCCAAAGACGCATACCACGGACGAACTCGTAGTTGTACATGATTAAAATATGGTATTTGGATCTCCAATTTGGTGACAACGATGGAAGAGTGGGGTCACTGGAACGAGCGACCTAAACGAAATGGAATGCACGGAAAGTAACGAATACATCATCAGGTATCGAAGTGCGGGCCAAGATTGGAAACGGTACCGCCGATTTCGTTCAGTATCAGGAATCCCCTCGGGGATCATCCGTAAAAATTGGAACGATACAGAGAAGATTAGCATGGCCCCTGCGCAAGGATGACACGCATAAATCGAGAAGTATCGCACTTTTTAATCTTAGGTATTCAGAAAGTCTTAGTTGTATCTACGGCACTCAATGCTTTTTGTTACTACACCACGACACGGTAGCACTTGTTTGATATCGTCGATACAACGCAGCATTCACTCTTTTACTACATACTGCTACGAGGTAGTACATGGAAATGTACACACGAATCATGCGTGCATCTTGGTTGAATGGCTCACTATCTTGGCCGTTGCTGGTGCCAGGTCGTCGGCTTCAGCCATCCGGGATAGTACGCGATGCGTGAGGATTTTTTTGACAAGCACAACGTTGTCGATGCCACAGGATGTGGCTTCACTAAATATGAGGCAATGAGGGTGGTGCCTACCGCTTGGCGAGATCTCACAAGCCGGCAATGAAGCGTCTGGCTCGGTACAGTATGCGCAGAGGGTACAGGAGGTGTTCCACGAGCTTGCAGACGAGCCAAACCAGCTAGAAATTCTTCGGAAACTACAGTACTGGTGCACGTCTCGCTTCATTTCGAGTCTTGGACGATACGCCGCCGACTTCGGCTCCGAGAATTCGTCAAAGTTTGCGATGGTTGCTTGAGCGTCTCATCAAGCCGATCTAAACATCCCACGACGTTTTGCCAGCAGTTTGTGCTCTCCATACACATCATAGCAGGTGGAGAGAGCCCACTGTCAAGATCGCAACTGCAAACGTTGGGATCGCCGACTCGAAGACGTCCGACTCTTCGTTGGTTTTCGGTGGTTTTCTCCGGGTCCGCCACGTCATTGGCTGTTTCCACCGCCAGTAGGCTTTTTCCCCTCATGTCAAGTATGAGGGTTTTGCCACTGAGGAGTTTGTGTCGCAGCTAGCGTGCCCCTCTCGTAATATATGATATCACGGGTCAGGTCGTGTGGAGCCATTGGCTTTACTCTACGATTCCGCCGCCCGACTGCGCACGTCTACGTGCGCCTTTGAGTGGTCCATCTTTCTTCCTCTTCCTCTTTCCTCTGTCTTGTGCTCCACTAGCCCAGCTGCTAGTTTGTTACCCACCCACGATCGGTGCACCAACCTATGTTTTCGGATTTCACTTGTTCAATCCCGAAGACGGGACGACTTCGCGGAGACATATAAGCTCGCCACGCGGACGTTCGGTGCACGGCGACAGCTCACGTTGCCACTTGACAGTAGCACATTCCGAGAGCCAATTCCTTCATCGAATCTTTGGCGATGTCGTTCGTATTACGGACGGGTGCTTGAATGTGATCCTCGGCGTCCGCACCAAGTTACTAATAACCAAAAGTTGCCTCGTGGCTCGGTACTATAGACAAACAGCCTCGTGTTCCTCACCGATATCTTCCAAAACAACACTATCTCGTCTCGGTGGACACCAACAATGGACACCTACGGTATACTAGTACGTATTAGGAAAGACACTCGCGTTTCCAGGAGGCAAGCGATGACACTACATGTACTCGCATGAATCGTGTCCCGCCGTGGCAACGATATGCTTTCCTTCCGATATTTCATTAAAATCTCATTGGGTGCCGATCCCCATGTCCCGCCATGCGGGCGCCCAGTGCACGTCAAGCAGCCGTGGGACGTCCAAGTGACTTCCTTCGTCGAAGTTCTAGTCCACGACACGGCCGATAGATTGCCAGCACGGCATTTTCAATCGTCCATCCTCATCCGACAATCATGGCAGCCAAGAACCTCTTTACGCCCCTTACGCTCGGCCGCTTCACGCTGCCCAACCGCATTTTCATGGCACCGCTCACACGCTGCCGCGCCACCGCAAACGACCACGTCCCGTCGACAGCCATGATCCAGCACTACGCCGACCGCGCGTCGTCGGGCCTCATCATCGCCGAAGCGACCATGATCACGCCCAACTCGTCAACGTTCTGGACCGAGCCGGGTGTCTACTCGCCCGAGCAGCTCGTCGCGTGGAAGAAAGTCACGGACGCGGTGCACGCCAAGGGTGGCACCATCCTTTTCTCCAGATCTGGCACGGTGGCCGCGCGGCGCACCCAGATCTGAACCGTGGCGCCGACAACGTCGCGCCATCGGCGATCGCGATTGACGGTGACACGCACGGTCCCAACGGCAAGGTGGCACACGCCGTGCCCCGCCCGCTCACGCTCAACGAGATCAGCGACCTCGTCGCACAGTTCGCGACGGCGGCCAAGAACGCGGTCGAAATCGCGGGCTTTGACGGTGTCGAAGTCCACGGCGCCAACGGGTACCTCATCGACCAGTTCCTCAAGGACGGCAGCAACAAGCGCACGGACGCGTACGGTGGCTCGATCGAGAACCGGGCGCGCTTTGTGCGGGAGATCTTGACGGCGGTCTCGGATGCGGTTGGCGCGGACCGCGTTGGTGTTCGGTTCTCACCCGCGAATGGGTACAACTCGATGCACGACTCGGACCCGGCCGCCTTGGCGACATACCTCGCAAAGACGCTCAACGACTTTAACCTTGCGTTTATCCACATCCGCCGAGGAGACTCGAGCGAGCACATGGAGATCTACCGCAAGCACTACAAGGGCGTGCTTATTGGCAACCAGTCGTACACGCGCGACGAAGCCAACGACGCGATTGCAGCCGGCAAGCTGGATGCGGTTGCATTTGGCGCTGCGTTTGTGGCCAACCCCGATCTCGTCGCTCGGTTTCAGAAGAACGCGCCGCTGAACGAAGGCAACCCAAAGACGTACTTTGCTCAGGGCCCCGAAGGCTACAACGACTACCCGACGCTTGAAGAGTCGACGGCGTAAGGGTTTGATATCATTTATCCAATCTTGAAAAAGACATGAACAATCCAACGAATATTCATCGAAAACGTTTTCTAAAAGAAAAATGTGGACTTTGTCGGGACCGCTAGAGTTCGATGCTGGCGCACGAGGTGGTGACTTGAGTAGTGCAGATACTTATGTCGTAAGGAGCATAATGTAAAGCGTCTATTGATTAAACACGTTGTATACTGTATAATCTAGGGTACAACTACGGTCGTTGCACAAATCCAGACTTTGCAGTGGCGCACCAGGAGACAAATTCTATACAAATCCTAGCAGACTTGTTCAACGGTACAATTGCTACGGGTGCTTCGAACCCCGCTAGAAGCGCCACCTCGATATCGAACAGTAGTTGCTGGTTAGTGGTTGCTGGGTGGGCCTTCGTGCCGAAATCGGCACAGCACAGCGACAAAACATCTGTGGCGGAGGACCAGCACCAGAGACCCTACGCGTACTAGACGCGTGCTAGAGTATTACAAAAGGTACCACTCGACCAATTTTGCCTTGGTCGTCGTAACCTATCTACCACTGGATAGTAATAGTAGCTGCTCTGAATTCAGTAGCCGTCAGCGGTATCTGCCGCCGTCAATTTAGGGTCTCCGTAATGAAGGACTCGTCGCAGAACGCAATGCAATCGAACTGATTTACCGATAATTGACAACCAAGTAAGCGGTCCATCGCGCCACCGTCCAGCAACATCTCCAACTATCTACTGCATACCGAGCAGTGTCAAGTGCACACGACAGCAGCTCTCTGCGCGAGACTGCGTCCCTCTGTTGACTGGTTTGGGCTAACGAAAGCTTCCTGCCGACGTCGGCGCCGCATAACTGCGCCCGGAGACGAGGCGTGCGCATCATCCCCACCACTCGGTGCGTTTCTTGTTCTTTAACATCTGTCTACTGCGTGGTCAAGGTGTACCATATAGGCAGGCCGTCGTCGACTTCTTGAAGTTTGTATGGCGCGACCCCGTCAATAATTCCGAAGACTTCTGAAATATCCTCAAATACGATATGACCACAATTTCTCAACTCGACTACTAGTATACCATGAAGACTATAGTAGGTTATTGTAGCAGGTGCGGATCCCCGAATACTTGGGTTTCATCGCAGCTCTACACCACATACCGCGCTGTTGTGACGCCTCCAGTTCGTTCACTCGAAGCTCGTCATTTTCCAATTCGGCTCTTCGACAACAACCAACGATCATGGCTGCAAACAACCTCTTTACGCCCCTCAAGCTCGGCCGCCTCGAGCTCGCGAACCGCATCCTCATGGCGCCGCTCACGCGCTGCCGCGCGACGCCTGGCGACCACATCCCGACGGAGGCCATGGTCCAGCACTACGCCGACCGCGCTGCATGTGGCCTCATCATTGCCGAGTGCTCGAT